TAAACAGATAGATGGATGATAGACACATAGATGGATGATAGGTAGATGGATGACAGATGATAGATAGACAGACAGACAGACAGACAGACAGACAGACAGACAGACAGACAGATAGATAGATAGATAGATAGATAGATAGATAGATAGATAGATAGATGGATGGATGGATGGATGACAGGTGGATAGGCAGGTAGGTAGACAGAGGTAGATAACAGATACTTCCATTCTGTGGAATTTCTTACCCTAATTCTAACTCTAGCCCACTTGCCCATCAGCTGAAGCTAATTAAACTTTCTTCTAGCCTTGCCTCTTGACCTATTGACCTCCAGTCAAATGGACCAGGGGGGAAGGAATTACTCTGCAGGAGAATCTTGGGATGTCTGGGCTGAGAAATTCCCCAACACTAGGGAATCTGGGTGAAAGCACTTCAGATTTCTTTTTTTTTTTCTTTTAATCCAATAAGCATTTATTGCACCAGTACCTATGCTGGATGCCAGGGATGCAAAGGAGAAAAAGTCCCTGCCTGCAAGGAGCTTCCATTCTATTGGAGGCCACTAAAGGAAAGAGAACCCTAACTCTGACATGTTTAAGAGGCCTCAAACTGCTTCCTGCGCTTCAAAAGAAGCCTTCAAATGCTGGCATGCAGATGTTAACAAATCAACTCATGGCAATAATATCATATCAAAATTAATATTAACGACAGAATCACGTTATCACTGCCGCCACTTTAATAGGGTCAGTGAGCCTGTATCCAAATTCCTTTCCTTGCTCATGGATTTGCCTTTTGTGAAAAAAGCATCATTCTCTGGTGACAACTTTGGCTAAGCGCCCTTTGGACCATTCCATTTACAAGGGTAGAACAGTGGGAAGGCACACTCTACCAGGAGTCAGGGTGTATGGGTCCAAATCCCAGCACTGACTCCCACTGGTTGCATGACCATGGGCAAGTGACTGCTTTGCTGAGCCTTTTTTTCCTCATCTATATAAGGGGGGTAAACAACACTTCTGTAATGTCTACCTCACACAACTGCCATCCCAAAAATATTTTGTAAACCTTAAAAAAAGACCCTATCTCCCAGTTCCATAGCATTTAAAAATTTTTAAATTATTTTCTTCTTAAGAACCCAGTGAGACAAGCAGTGTATTAGCTCCATTGAAAAGATAAGAAAACTAGCTTTGTGGGTGATTTGCCCACAGCGCCACCACTAATGAGTCTGGGGCAGCATTTGAACCCAGGTCTCCTGGCTGGGCACTGTAGCCACTACAAGATCATTAAGAATTCCCTGCCTCCTTTGGAAAGTCCCTTATTGTGGCTATCAACTCTTTTATTCTGAGCAAACAGCTGCTCCAGTAATTAGCTGGTAATCTGCTTTCCTCTATTCAAGCAGAGCTGAATCCCCACTTCCTTTTTCTTCCTTCACAACACAGAGGAGTTGTGATTACTGATCCCCTGGACAGCAATGCACCAGGGCAGCCGTGGCTTCTGAGATCTTGCACAGAGCCGCAGCCCACGTTGGCAGAGAAGTCTAAAATGGACCCAACCAAACAAAAAGAGGCTTGCAGGGGGTGAAAACAATAAAATCAACATTCTTCCTACCCACCCCTTATCAGCCCTTACTTTCAGGAAAAATGCCTGTAATCCAAAGCCCTGTGACCGATAAACCTATTTTCCTAGAAGAGACTGACTAGGGCTGACTAGAGTTTAACTAGGCAAAAACACAATGAGGCAAATTCAGCTTTGGGGAGGGCTGGGGGTGGCAGCTCCAGCATGCACTGGACATGGGGGAGGGGAGCAACAATATAAAGGAAAAAGGCAATCGGAGGAGACAAGGGTGAGGAAGTGCGCCTTCTCCAACTTCTGTACTTGGAGCAAAGCGCCATTGGCCCAGAGCTGGTGACAGCTCTCAATGGGACAAGAAACAGAAAATACCCTAATGACCTTGGCAACTGAGGGCAGTGGCTGTAGACAACATGGGGCAAGCAAAGTGGGCTAGATCTTTAGAGTTATGCTATTCGTTTCATTATTTTAAAGGCAGTGCAAATAAGAAAGAAATTGACATTTCTATGATTCTCTTACTTTGAATTTTTCAACTTGAAAACAGCTAGTATTTGTAGGGCACTTCAATAACAATAACAGCTCACATTTATGTCGTGCTTTCTACACTACGGGTCAGGAACTAGCATCTTTACAATTACTATCCATTTGATCCTCACAGCAACCCTGGGAAGAGTGGTTATTATCCCCATTTTACAGATGAGGAAACTGAGGATGACGGAGACTAAAACGATTTGTCCAGTCTCAAAGCCAGTGTTAGTGGCTTGATTCAAACTCAGATTTCCCAAACCTACCTTCCATTACACTCCTCCACCCTCAACCCCATACAATCTAGCACTTAATCATACAGTATCTTATATTGTCCTCTAGGGGCAGCAGAGCACACTTACACTGCATGGCCCTCTTTGCCTCCAGCCACTCCATAGGACTCACCTACTGAGCCCTGGATAGGCTTGGAATCTGTGCTGGTTAAAGGGACCCCCATGCCGATGGCACCCCAGAACCTTCGCTCCCCCATTGTTTCCTGTGTGCCAGCTACCCTTCTTATGCTGGGAAAAGTTCCTGCTCCCTTACTGGCTGTGCGATCCCCACTCTCAACCCATTTTCTCATCTGCAAAATGAGAATTCTCTTCCTAATTGGTTGTTGTGAAGAAAGTGCTCTGTAAACTCACACATGGCATACAAATATGAACTATCATGCCCACACATACACACCCAATCCAGTGGGGATTGGCTTAAGCATAGGAACCAAGTCTTCTCCATTCCCCACAAATCTGGGCACACTCTTGGCGCTCAATAAATACCCAATAATTGACTTTGCATCTGATTCTCCAGAAAGGTGCTTACATTTACTATTTGCTTACATGTTGGCATCACGGCTACAGTGTGGTGCAGGGGAAACGCTTGGTTCTCAGCGTGTTTCCTTATTTGTAAAATGGGGGTAAGACGGCACCTAGCTCCCAAGGTTATTTTGTGGCTCAAATGACATAACAAAAGGGCATATGCAGACCTTAGACAATGATATACATACTAATATCAGTACTAGATTCTTAAAGGATCCAACAGGATGTTGGTAAAGTGCCTAGTACACTGCCTTGCACACAGTGGGTGCTTAATACTTGTTCCTTTCCCTCCCCTAAAATAGAGTGGGATCCTTCGGATCAGAAATGTGTTCCTTTTGACCCCAGTGCTAAGAGGAGGGTTTCACATGCTTGGTACATGCTTCGTGCATGAGTGAAGGGAAAAGACGGGTGGACGTGCTCTTAAACCATGCTTTCTCCCCATTTGACTCTGTTTATTCTGCACCAAGTAAAACCACCTGGCTTCTCACTCAGATTTGTTTTCTTTCATGCTCCAGATGTCGATATGGTGAACAAGCAAATGTCCATCACTCAAACAAGCCCTTCATAAAGGCCAGGGGAGACCCCGGGTCCAAGGCATGACAGGCAGGCTGCGTGCAATGCAGAAGTTGTTTTCAGCAGCCTGAGCTCGGGCTCACCCCTTGGCCTCCTGGGGACGCAGAAGCCCTCCGTACCTGGCTTTACATACGGGTGATGCCCTCCTGCCTCTGCACAAAGGATTCCAGCCACCCTAGGACTCAAGGGGCTGGGGATCCCTCGGATCAGCCTGAAAGCATCAGAAACTGTCAGGGACTTAGTCCCTGACCTCAGAACCTCAGTCCACCCAGAAGTAAAGAGCAAACAAGTCAACAAAGGCAGATTCCCCATCCCAGGATTCGAGGACTCCTTTACTCAACTGCAGCTTCCCTTTCACAAAAGGGCATTGGACTGGAGTCACAGGTCCTGCATTCAAATCTTTCTTCTGCCATTCAGAACCCAGGAGACCTTTGGCTAGTTACAAGGTGTCTGAGCCTCTGTTTCTCCTCAGTAAGATGAGGGGATTGGACTAAACCATCGCTCAAGTCCTTCCCAGGTCTAAATCTATGGACACTGAACTCGGAGTCTAGAAGATTGGGTTCAAATTCCACTTAGTAGCTGTGGCCCTGGGCAGTGCCCCCAGTAACTAAGTCTATACTTAGAGGAAGCTGAGCCAGTCTGCTTTGGTAGAGGAAGCTATCCATACCAGGATTCCCTGAACTGACAAAAACTCAGGTCTGGTATAAAAATAATTTGTTCTTTGTTTGTTTCCATCATTTCTCACTCTTTGTCATCCCACCTGGGGTTTTCCTGGCAAAGACACTGGAATGGTTTGCCATTTCCTTCTCTAGCTCATTTTAACGATGAGGAAACTAAGACAGAGTTAAGTGACGTGCTCAGGGTCACCCAGCTAGGAACTATCTGAGGCCAGAACTGAACCAGTCTTTTCCTGACTCCCAGATCAGTACTCTATCCACTGCACCACCTAGCTGCCCCCATAAAAATAATTATTTGTATTAATAAAGACTTAGTTTACTATCTCTCAGATCAGAGATAATAGACAGTAGTGAAGAAATGGCCTTTAGGAGTTAGATGAGTCTAAGGACAGCCATGCTGCTTATCACTCCTGTGCGTTCTCTATAGAGCCCATCACTTTTTAAATTAACACCCTCATCTGTGCTATTAAACAGAAGGGAAAAGTCAACTTAGATAAGCAACACCACACCAGCTCAAAGAAAATAACATCAGCTACAAAAACATAAATACAACCCCAGGAGACAGGAACTTTCCAGATTGGCTGGGCAGGGTAGAAGTGATGGAGACAGTCTTTTTCCTTCTTTGTCACTGTGACTCAGGTCAACAGACTTACTTTCGAGCCCCCTCTGGACAGTGACCCGAATATCACATTACATCAGTCATGTCATCCCTTGACAAGGGTCTAACCAAGGCTTTGGCAGCACTGAGCACTTTGCAGAATCCCCCTTGGACAGGTCATAGTGGCAAACATGATGAAATTCCTACATTTCCATTTTGCTTTCCCACAAGGGGCAGGAGCAAAAACGGTCGCCATGGAGGACGTTGGAGGCTTAGAGGCCAACATCTCCTTGCAAGACAAGCAGTGCCAGATCGTTGAGAACTACAAGAGGGTCTACCTCCCCCTGACCTACAGCATCGTCTTTGTGCTGGGGCTGCCCCTCAACAGCGTCGTTCTCTGGCTCTCCTGGTGCCGCACCAAGCGCTGGACGTGCACCACCATCTATCTCTCCAACCTGATGGTGGCCGACCTGCTCCACATTGCCACGCTGCCCTTCCTGATCATCAACTACTCGCTGAGGGACCGATGGCCCTTTGGCAACTTCTTCTGCCGGCTGGTACGGTTCCTGTTTTACACCAACCTCTACGGCAGCATTCTGCTCCTGACATGCATCAGCGTGCACCGCTTCCTGGGCGTGTGCTACCCCATCCAGTCCTTGGCCTACCGCACCCGGAGACTGGCCCTCACAGGAACAGGTACCACATGGGCCCTGGTCATCCTGCAGGTACTGCCCACCCTGGTCTTCTCTGAAATGGGGCCCAAGAATGATCACATGGTCTGTTACGACCTGAGCCGACCCAACGTCTTTGGCTACTTCTTCGTCTATGGGATGATTCTGACTTTCTCGGGCTTCGTCTTGCCTTTTCTCATCATCCTCATCTGCTACTCACTAATGATCAAGAGCCTGGTAAAACCCATGGAGGCCCAGACAGGGCTGGGCACAGCTGCCCGGGCCAAGTCTGTCCGCACCATTCTCGTGGTGTGCAGCCTCTTCGCTCTCTGCTTTGGGCCCTTCCACGTCACTCGCTTCATCTACTTCTTGGCCAGGTTCTATGCCACCAAGAACTGTCCCCTGCTGAATGTGACCAGCATGGCTTATAAGGTTTGGCGGCCTCTGGTCAGCTTCAACACCTGCTTAAACCCAGTGCTCTTCTTCCTGTCTGGTGGCAGCAACAGAATCAGGCTGGCCCAGGAACTGAGGCGAAATAAGTGAAGCCAGGGCCTGCAAGAACAGCGAGAAGACACAGCCATGGATAGGTCCATTCATTGTGGAGACGGACCTCAGACACAACAGTGGTAGCTAGAACTCTTGGAACTAGGGCAAAAGTAATTTAATTAGGAAAAGAAAAAGGGCATTACAGTCCACTCTTGGTACAATCACATGGGAGGAGGGGGAGCAACTCATTGCTAACAGGGCAGCCTATCCCCTATTAGCCCCTTGCATTGCCACTGATTCCTGACCCTCCAGAGGAAACTGGCAAGCAGGCAATGGGGGAAAGGAAGCCCTGGAAAAGGACAGGTGGCCCAGGGTTAAGTCTGGGAGGGCACTTACCACAGACAGTTGGAGGGACCACAGGATGCCACAGGTAACAGCACATCCCTGCAGTCAGTGCCCTGGGCCAAACCCCTGACTGCCCTACCCTCGTTATGGGCTCTGCTCTGATGACTTGACTTCAGGAAATGTCTTAATGGAGAAGCGATGGAAACATTCTGGAAGATCAGAGATGATGACAAGCAAGGGAAAAAGGATCCTATCCAAAAACGTGAGGAACATGGCACATTTATTTCTTGCTTTTCTAAGAGGTCCCAGTGAAATCCCACACAACTAGTTCAGCTGAATCCCAACAAGCCCTGCCCCAAATGCCTTTCAGACTAAAAGGTGGCCAGCTCTTTGCCAGAGCTGCCGACAGCAGGAGGAGGTATGGGAGCAGCTGACATGAAAGGTTTTCAACTTCCCAAGCAAAACCTAAGCATTCAATAGTCAACCTAAATTCAAATTAACAGCACAAGTTATTGTAGGAAATATTTTTGAACACCACGTCCTGAAATTCATGATGGTGTCCCTCAGGTGTCCCCTTAAACTGCAAATTATACATGAGTCAAACCGCCTTAATGGAGAGAGGTAAGTTGAGGATGGGGGGGGGTAGGAGAAGGGAGAGGGAAGGGGGAAGGGAAGGAAAGGGAGGGGGAGGGAGAGAAAGAGAAAGAGAGAGAGAGGAAAGGAGGAAGAAAGGGAGGGGGGGGAGGCAAAAAGAGGGTGAAGGAGAGGTGGAAAGGGAAGAGAGAGGGAGAGGGAGGAAGAAGAAGGAAATAAGAAGGGGAGAAGAAGAGAGAGAGAACAGAAAAGAGGGAGAGGGGGTATAGTGTGATTTGAAGAATAGCAAACATAGGTTTGCTGCTCTTAAAATGCTCACCACAGTTTGAAGAATACATCCTAGATGTAGGAGTTCCTTGCAATTCTTTCTTTTAATGAAAAAATGTGGCCCTAAAGAACTCTCTAAGTTGCAGGGCAGGTACTGATAGATATTGGTAAAATCTAGCTTTTTAAAAAATCCTAGCTTATTAATATGACAAAGAAGGGAAATGGTGGCTGTTGGAGGGGATGTGGGAAAATGGAACACTAATGCACTGTTGGCAGAGTTGTGAACTGATCCAGTCATTCTGGAGAACAATTTGGCACTATACCCAAAGGGCTACAGAACTGTCCATACCTTTTGATCCAGAAATACCACTGCTAGGTCTTTACTCCAAAGAGATCAAAGGAAAAGAAAAGGACCTAAATGTACAATAATTATAGCAGCTCTTTTCCAGGTGGCAAAGAACTGGAAATTAAAGGAGTGCCCATCAACTGGGGAATGGCTGACCAAGTTATGGCATATGATTGTCATAGGACACTATTATAATATAAGAAATGATGAGCAGGATGGTTTCAGAAAAACTGAACTTACATGAACTGATGCAAAGTCAGGTGAGCAGAACCAGAAGGACATTGTGCACAGTAACAGCAATGTTGTACAAAGAAAAACTGAATATGATTTAGCTATTCTCAGCGATCCAATGATCCAAGACAATCCTAAAGGACTCATGATGAAAAATGCTATCCACCTCCAGAGAAAGAAATGATGTTGTCTGAATACAGAACAAATCACACCTTCTTTCTTTCTTTGAGTTTTCTTGCACAAAATGACGAATGTGGAAATGTTTTACATGATTACATGTGTATACCTGTATCAGACGGCTTACAATCTCAGGCAGGGGGTGGAGAGAAAGTGATAGAATTTGGAAGCCAACACTTTAAAAAAAACCTGAACATTAAAAATTGTTTTTACATGTAAATGGGGAAAAAATCAAAAAATATTAAAAAAAAAATTTAACATAGGTGAAACAAACCCAGTGCTCTTTTTCCTGTCTGGTGGCAGCAACAGAATCAGGCTGGCCCAGGAACTGAGGCAAAATAAGTGAAGCCAGGGCCTGCCACAACAGTGAGAAGACACAGCCATGGATAGGTCCACGCACTGTGGAGACGGACCTCAGACACAAGAGTGGTAGCTAGAACTCTTGGAACTAGTGCAAAGTAATTTAATCAGGAAGAGGAAAAGGGCATTACAGTTCCATTTTTCACAAGGATAAGACTGGGGAGGCACAGTGAGGCAACGAGTACCATGAAGATCTGGTGGGTTCAGAGGACCACAAGCTATGGGCCCAGCATGGTGCCACAGCCTGACAAAGGTCTATGACCTCGGATGCATTTGGAGGGGCAGAGCTCCCAGAACTAGGGAGGGGACTGGCCCACTGTCCTCCACTCTCTGTAGACCTCATCTCTAGCACTGAGCACCACAGTGTCACAAGGGCATGGACAACATGGACAATGCCCAGAGGGGGGTACCTAGGATGATGAAAGGCCCCGAGTCCATGACATTGGAGGATATCAGTTTAGCCAGGATTAAATAACACACAGGCTGTCTTCAGGAGAAGGTGGAGGGTTGTCCTGTGTGGTCCCAGAGGACAGGACCACAAGTAAAGAGGGAAATTTAGCCTTTGATGTTAAGAAAAATGATCTAACAGTTAAGACTGTCCCACAGTAGAGCAGGACCCCCATTCTTGGAGTTTGGTCACCTATCAGGGATATTAGAGCAGAGACTGCTTTCGTGTTTGGTTGGACTGGACAGCCAACTAAGATCCTTCCAACTCAAATTCTGGGACTGGCAATGATCATATAAGTTGTAACAAGATGTTATTAGAAAGTATAATTAACCGGCAGAGGAGTAAAACATAAGCCAAGTTACCAGGTGCAGTGAAACTACACTACAACCGTGTTAAACATTTTTTTTCCTGAGACAATGGGGGTAAGTGACTTGCCCAGGGTCACACAGCTAGGGAATGTTATGTGTCTGAGGCCAGATGTGAACTCAGGTCCTCCTGACTCCAAGGCTGGAGCTCTATCCACTGCACCACCTAGCTGCCTCTCATGTTAAACACTTTAAATAAATATTTTAAACAACTTTCACCTCTACCTGTTGTAGAATGTGATTAACTCTTGCCACAGTTGAATATCTGACTTACCAACAGCAGGCCCCAGGCTCGTAGAGGAGTACTGAGGATGGCTTTAGACTTTGTTCCTACAGAAGCTAAAAATATAAATGTTATGAGTCTAGGGAAAGATTTGTTTCCAAAATTAATTCAGTGGCTGTAATCTGTCCACATTTTCTTTGTTCTGGATCATCTATTAATTTCTAATTAAGAATGGAAATATTATTTAGTCACAGCATAAAGATAAAAATAAATGCTTGCTTATACATTTATTACAATAAAAATAGAAATAGGATTTTCCTTTTGTAACTTTTTATCTACTTGTATAAAGGTATACAATCGTCATCTTAATTAGGACATGTTTCAGTCGTTACAAAAAATGTAAAAGATATTTTGCCAACAGGACTACTCTAAGATAAAGAGAGGTTAAGAAATTTAAAGAGCTCTACCTAGCTAAGGAGATCTAGTCGTGATTATTAGTGAATTTTCCCTACATAAAAAGACCTTTTATCACCTGCATGTTCCCCATTACAAAAACAGAAGCAAATACACATTTCCGCTTACACTCCATTTTATTTGAGGTAAAACTCCAAGGTTCTTTTGGTTGGCTGGGGGCTGCTGGGTTGTTTGTTTTGGGTTTAAAAAAGGATAACCTACTCAAATGTCCAGATCCGGAAAATACAAAAATGAGATGACCTAGTAAAAAGCCCCTCAGCAGAGGCCGTCTTGTGCCCTTTCATTGACTGACCCTGGCAAAGTGCAGCAAGGCTTTCCAGAGCATTTGGCCAGACTTGGACACTAAATAAATTATTAGCAAGCAGGTAAAGGTGACCCCTTTGCAGCAAACCATACAAAAGACATGATCTAAGATAATGTACAATCTTACAGAAATATACTTGGAGAAAAGAACTCTGGAAAGAAGCTGTTAAACACACGCTAGAAGGCCCCTTCCAAAAGGCCACTTTCCACCTTCCAGACCATCCCTCCTTCCCCAGTGTCCGGCTCTCCCAAGCACAGGATGGCAGCTGCCTCTCTGGTGACGACTGCTCTTCAAATTCATCTGCAAACACACGTGAAAATGAGTCATGAGCACGAAAGCAGGACTGAGACTCTTGAGGACTTACAAGAAGGGTCCCAAACAGCACAGCCTCCACTTCCATTCTGTCCAGTCCTGGAATTCTCTGTCTTGCTCCGCAACGCCCAAAGCCCCGATGCACATGCACACAGGGTCAGGGCTCCGTCCCAACTCCCTCCAGGCCTACAGGCTGTTGGACACAGAGGCCCCAGGATGCCCTCGCTGCTCACATTACCATTACCATCATCGATGCTGTACAATACCACCTCCCCAGTGAGAGGGAACAGAGACTTTCTGAAGGGATGGCAGTCTTGCTGTCCCCTCCCTGCCTCATTCCTTTCGCTTGGTGCCGAGGAGTCTCGGCAGTGTTCTTAACCCAGCGGGCTTTCCCGGGTAGGGTCTCTCCAGAGCACTCAATCTCACCCCATTATCACAGCTTCTTAGGAAGAGCAGAGGTGCACCAATCAAAGCTGCCTAGAAACGACCCTAAGATCTGGCAGGGTGTCCAGCTGCCAGGAGGCTTCATTCAGGCCAATCCCAGCCAGAGATGAGGCCCAGCCTTGCTAACTCAGGGAGGCCTACCACAAATGGGCTGGCCCCAAGGATGAACGCTCTAGCTATGACAACCCATGAAACAGGGTTCTAGACGTTCAAGGATTAAAATGAAATGTCTTACAAGCTGCTACCTGGAATTTCTTTCAACCTCCAAAGTCAGCTGAGTAATAAATACAACGTTAACTGAAACACAGACCTTAAACCACGAAATCTGTTTGGGGCCAATTTTGAAAAGAAAACCAACTCTAGTGGACCCCGCACCCTTCAGATTCAATAGACTTTTCAATCAGAAACAGAACTTTTCTAATGGCTTCAGTAGGCCAGGCTAACCAGAAGAGCCCTAAATTTTATGTTAAGATATCTTAAAGCATTTTAACATCAACTAAAGTACGTTACGTAAAATGTGCACATCATTTAGCAATGTCTGGAATAAAAGAAAATGTCTTCTTTTTACCCCTGAAGCATTTACACAGTCACCAGAAGAGAAAGACAGATAAAGCTGGTATCCTAGGATTGTAGCCTTCTCCTCCCTCTAGGAAAGAAGGGGTGCTGGGCGTGTAAGGTAGTAACCCTCACTACAATGAAATCCATTCTATCTCGAGGAGAAAGGAATGATTACTGATATGGGTATGGCTTCCAACCAGGGGACTCTCACAGGATTACTGAGCACCCAAATCAGAGTTAGCGGGGAAGCCATGATCCAAAGATGCCGCCATTGCTGGGGCAGGATCACCAATGGCAACCTCCTTCCCGAGGGCCGTCTGTGCCCATCACCACTTACACGTCAACACGCGGCGGCAGGAAAAGAGCTTCCATCCCTTCTTATCGGTACCTAGGTCTGAGACAGCTTCTTGAACACCTACCACTGGGGCTCAGACTCACCCCACTTCCCTCCAATGCACAAGGTCAGGTGCTCCATCTTACTAAGCTGCTCTACATTAAAGCATTTCAAGACTCCTCTATCCATGACAAAGCAAAAGAGGGTCTTTACTGAGTTAGCAAGAAAATTAATCAGCCACGCCCTGGCCCACTGTTAACAGGCTAACAAGTTGAGGACTCACTGAGACTTCTGGCCTTCAAACACTTACTTGGTGTCAGTCATCTTTGACAGCTCCACCCTCTGTCTGGCAGAACAATTAAGGCTACCTCCTACAACACAAGAAGGGAGAGGAAGACTCAGTCAGGTCAGTGCTCACACCAACAAACAAGCAGGCTCATTAAGGCACAGACCAGCACTCTGGGGCGCAGCTCCCCCCAGCAGCACAGGAGGTGCCCCGTGAGAAGGGAAGGGCTGACTCCTCATTACAGCTCAGGAAACACAGCCAGGGAGGGCCAGGGCAGGCCTGGAAGCCGGGGCCACCCCCAAACACAGCGTTCTCTCCACTATACCAAACAAACACACAAGTGTGTATATCTATGTATATGCACATATGTACGTATATTTACGTATTCAATCCTACAAAAGGTTATTTCTGTGTGTATGTGTGTAAATATGTGTGAGACTGTGTGTGCGTATGTGTAAGAACAAAGTTGGTCTGTGGCTTGAGTGTGTACAAATGTGTGTGTATTCTTTTGCAGGACTGAATAGGAACATATAAAACCAAGTCCATTAACATATGCTAAACACAAGTGCTGAGCCCCCACGAAGACCCTTTAGGGAGTGAAATGGTTCCTCTCACACAATGAAGAACATGAAACAAATGAGTGCCTCTTGTTAAAGCTGGGGTGGGAATGCGCCTCTCTTTAATTCGCCACTCAAAATGGAAAGACGAGCGAAAAGAAGAAAAGAGCTTTTCAGACGTACATATGCCCCAACATGTCCCCAACCCCCACTGCGGTAACTTCTGATAAGGAGATTATATATCCCAGGGGATTTATTTGGCAATGAATGGAACCAGTGACATTTTAGGGCGGGCAGTACACACCAAGCAGTAACCAAAACACTAGTATGTAACTTCTAGCAATGCACATACAGAAACTAAGACAGAAGAAACTATGGGGGATAAAAAGAATCCTCATGCACAGTGACACCATTTCAAATGATCTGAAACAGCAGCACCCAGGGTTTAAAAGCCTCTTGTTACAGAAATGCCTTGTGTTTCAATATCACCTTCAGAGTGCCACTCAAAACTCACAAAACAATTAGTGGCACAAATTCTGAAAACACTGAACAGATTTATAAACCAAGACTGAATTCAACGTACTTCTGCCACTAGGATACTGAATACTAAATCAGTCCTAAATCCTTGCCCACCCCCCAATTTCACCCAGAATCAAGAGAGCAGCTTAATTACCTTACCTCGAGTGTAATCCACCAAGTACAGCAAAACCACCGCTAGAAGTGAAACTAGGGGGAAAAAAAGGGGGGAAAATCTTTTAAGGAAACGTTGCAGCCCAGTGATTCCTAGAATCACAAAGCGAGTCTGCAGCCCACTACAACTCCTGGGGATTCAGATACAAAGGGCAGAGAAAGTGGCTCCGCTTCCCAAGGAGCTGAGGTGAGCGCCACAGAGGGCAAAGCGCCAAGACCCCTACGCCCTCCCCTGCCCTGTTCCTGAGTCCCGCCACTGGGTCTCTCTTGGTGTTTTACCAAGAACTGCTGCCAGCCCATGCTAAGAATCGCTTGTTCTGCGGCACGCTGACTGGAAGTTCAGGACTAGGATTGCGGGGTCTGAGAAGGAACTCTGCCATTTTTTTAAGCTAAAGAAGCCATACCCCAGATCACAGAGGGAAGTCCGAGATCCCAGGTCTCCAAACCACCCTGCCTAAGGTGCATTTTCCACCGCATCCTACTGGAGCCCACAAATCTCAACACATCTATTGGATAACTTCCTAGGGTTTGGCCTCAGGGACAAACGAAACCTTCCTCTGCCCATCAGGAGACCAAAAAAGACTCCAAAAATACTTGTTATCAAGTACTTACCAGAAACACAGGCAATGAAGAATACTTCCAAAAAGAAATACCCCCAAAGATCCAATACTTCCCAGCAACTATGGACATTATGGCCAGGCCAAGATTCTGGATCGACTGCATGCTAAGAAACAAAAATTCACATGTGTAAGTTTTCCACCCAGACGCTTCAAAATTATTATTTACGTGCAAAACCGCCAACATGGACATTTGTTAACACAATAAATAAAGTTTAAGTAGCCTGATGATCAACAGTAAACTATTTCCACCTATCCCCTCAGCATGGGGAGTCCACCACAGCAGGCCTTCCTTTGGGACTCCTGACATTCTGTGGCTCCCAGGCAATCTCTGGGCCACTCAGTGGTTTGTCATCCCGAGCCTGGGCTATGTGACCAGTTCATCTCGCGTAAAGCCCCCTCTGACAGAATGGCTCCTCCGCAAGCCCAGCCGTCCACTTTCTCCACCTCGCCAGGCGGCACTGAGACTCTCCATCATGTCAGCTTCCTTTCACGCGCTGCTGTCCCCATCAGGATGTAAGCTCCTTGAGGGCAGGCGCTGCGTTCGTGTGTCCGCCATTCCCAGAGCTGAGCATCCTCCCTGGCGCCCCACAAACACCTCACAAATGCTTGCTGCCCAACTGGATGACTTCTGGGACACGGCCAGCAGCCTTTTCAGTCACCTACAGCTGCAAGGCTTAATGCAGATCACGGACTGTCTGAGTGAAGGAGAGTAAAGAATGGCAGCTTTCAATGCACTGCGAGGTTTCCCAACGAGTCTGTGGCCAAAGGGTTAATGAGGAAAGCCTGAGAATGGCCCTCACATCACCTGCTCCCTTCTCCCTGGAGCATGTCTGCTGCAGGCCCCTCAAACAATTCAACACCACTACTGACAGCAACATAGAAGTTCAAGGGAACCACGCCGCACAACAGGAAAACTAACCCAGAAAACATGTGGCCCGAGGCCTCGGCTTGGCACCCAAGCTCTGCTCTGGACACCCACCTTGTGTGCGTGTATGTCCGTGTCTGTGTGTCTGTGTCTCTGTGTGTGTGTATGTGTGTGTGTGTGTGTGTGTGTGTGTGTGTGTGTGTGTGTGTGTGTGTGTGCGTGTGTGTGTGTGTGTGTGTCTTCTGCACCTGGCCTGACGACTCCAGGAAGGAAGGCCCTAGGGTGAAAGAGGGAGTGCAGGATGGGCCCTGCTCCTCAGGGAAGTGTGGAGGCAGAGGCACGCTCTAACCATGAAGAGAGGGCAGCCAGGCCACCTCTGCTACTTCCTCAGGGTGTTGGCATGTAACATGCTGGCATGTAAAGAGGCACTTACACAGTCACCATTCAAACGTATATTGCAATGAAATGGACTACTTTTAAAAATATCTTTTTAACTGACACTTTTGTCACAATACAGTAAGACCTCTGCAGTTCACAATCCTGTGTAGCCAGGTTTTAAGGAGAGCTGTGGGTTAGTAAGGGGCAGCTAGGTGGTAGAGTAGACAAAGCACTGGGCTTGGAATCAGGGAGACCTCAGTTGTGTGACCTCGGACAAGTCACTTAACCCCTCTTTGCCTCAGTTCCTCATCATAAAATGGGGACACACTGGAGAAGGAAATGGCAAACCACTCCAGCGGCCTTGCCAAGAAACCCATGGACAAGTCCATGGGCTCAGGAGGAGTCGACGTGACTGAACAAATAAACGACAATGGGTGAATAACATTTTTAAGGTATTTTCCAAGAATTACACATTCAGAAATATTTCTATTTCTCACTTTCTTAATCAGAGTATACTGACCACAATTTCATTTTTTTTAGATGTCTCAGGATTGTCATCAAGGACATCGGCTACCGAGACACGCGTAAAGATGGGGGGCCAAAGGCGTGATACTGACGCCAAGGACTGGTTCTGGGCCTGCTTTCTGGAAGGCTGCAGGTTCTTGCCCCTGACATGAAAGTACAGTGAGGCAGATGCCACATGGGATCTTCAGAAGAGAGTCATCCCTCCGACTCTATCATCCAACTGGCCTCATCCCATCAGCTCCACCAAAATGGCGGGCAAGCAGCCAGTGAACGAGAGACGCACTCGGGAGCCCCAGGCACCGCCGCGGAGACGCCCTGCCTTGGAAAGCACATAGAGAGGTCCTGATCGACTTCCCTGACCCAGAGCTGGCCATTCCTCCTGTCCAGGGACATGGCTTCTCGTAGCATGTTGGGGTTGCACCAGCCACAGCCACGCGTGGTTGGGGATTTGGGTGGCAAGAGACGGTTTGCTTCCTACCAGCCAGACATCTGAGTCATGAACCATCCAAGGACCCGCATCACAAACTGCGTACAGCAGCGGGCCCCAGAGAACCCCGACGTGGCTCTGTGCTATGGATACTTACAAGCCGTACGCCGTCCCCAGCTGATGCTCTGGAACAACAAAAGCCACCATTGGCCACAATGCACAGGCAAGGAGGGAATAGGAGATTCCAAGGAGACACTGTGGGAAACAGCAACAGAAAAAGAGCCTTTAAACCCAGACGTTCAGAAACAGGCTTCTGCTTCTCTCTGCGGCATCTTCCAAGCCAGAAAAGACAAGACTAAAAGCCAGCTGACGTTTCAAAATTCACATTATAAAGAAGCCACGTGCGCATAATCTGAGACCGAGACCACATCTGTATGAAAAAGCATGTGAGAACATATCGTAAAGACCTGTCACCCTCTTCAGCCCAGAAGTGGTGGTTTAGCTCACTGTCAGTAACACAGGAATTGTGAATTCCTAGCAGCGTGATGGATTTCCTCTGACATCCACACAGCTTCCCCCTTCGGGCACCACAAAGGGGCTGACCGAGGGCTGGAGGCAAGCCTACTGCTAAGCAACTGAGCGGTGCTGACTGGGTCTATGTGGAGGCTGGAGCTACCTATGAATTACCAGCACCAGGCTCTAAGCAAGTGATTAAGAAAAGACAGTCACCTCAGGTCTCCTCCACAAGCACAAAGACTGAAGCTAAGAACGGAGTCGTTCTTTCATCTAAATAAGACTCTTATTTTCAACCTGAAGCAAAATTTAAAGTAGCTCTCACTGAGTGGAGGCCCATATAGAAGACCTGGTATTAACTATACTACTGCCTTAACATTTCAGAATCCAACGCTTCAGCCTCCTTGCTCTAAAAACACCGGGATCCACATAAAAGCCCCACCTCAAAGTCAAAGAGATCGTTTGGACCCACTGATAACAAATGACAGAACAGACAATTTAATGCTCTTTTGAGTTGCATCCCATGACTTTTACCACTTCTCACAAGGCAAAGATATAGGCCTATGAAAGGTTAAAATGCTGTTTCCCTCCACTTCACTACAGCTAATAACAATGATGGTGGTGGTGGTGGTGGTGGTGGTGGTGGTGGTGGCTAACATTCATGGAGTGCTTGTTATGTGCCAGGCACTGTGCTATGTGCTTAACACTTAGGAACTCATCTGATCTTCACGACAACCAGGAGAGGTAAGTGCTATTACTATTTCCATTTGGGCAGATGAGGAAACTGCAGCAGACACAAGTAAATGACCTGCCCACAGTCAGACGGCCAGATCTGAACTCAGATCTTCCTGACTCCAGGCCCACTGGACCATCTGGCTGCTCAGAGATTATTCTTGGGAATATATCCTTAACTGGGTCATTTCACATTTCAATACAATGATGTGAGACAAGCTAACGAGAAAGAATGGGGCTGGATTACAGGTCAGAGAGTTATCTGCCTGGAAACTATAGTTAAAACTATATAGGCTGATAAAGCCACCAAGAGAGAGTGTAGAGAGACAAGAAGCAGAAGAGAGAATAAACATCTATATGGCGCCTGCTGTGTGCAGGCACTGTGCTAAACACTTCCTACCAATAATATCTCATTTGATCCCACAACAACCTTGCAAAGTAGGGGTTATTATCACCCCCATTTTACAGTGAGGAAACTGAGGCAAGCAGAGGTTCAGTGTCTTGCCCAGTCATACAACTAGTAAATGTCTGAGACTGAATTTGAACTCAGGTCTTCCAGATTCCAGGCTCAATACTCTATCCACTGTGCCATCAGTTGCCTTGAGAGAATAAAAGAAAGCTCAGGCTAATCCCTGGAATACACCTACGCAAGACGGATGAGAGACACATTTGAATCCAACAAAGAAAGGTGGGGGAACAAGGAGAGAGAAATGTCGAGAAGGTCAGTTACTCTGTGTGGCTAGGTTTCACGTGTATGCCACTCTCCGTGGGAGAGTTCTAGGCCTTATTGCTCGATGGGGTTCTAAACTGATCTTGATTCTGCACGTGGAATCGGGTGCCTTCCAATTCTAAGCTTCTGGGTAATTCTGAGAGAGAGCCCACATACTGTGGGTAGAGAAAATTTTCCATTCCCCTTTACATTATAGCACATAGGTCCCTGACGACAACATGATGTGAGGTGGGCCGAGGGCTGGACTTGGAATCAGGACATGGGTTCAAATCCTGTCTTTCATACCTACTACTTGAGTGACCCTGCACAAGTTATTCAAGCTCTATACAGATCAAGAAACTACCAAAAAAAAAACATTTTTTTTTAAATCCCTTGGATTTATCCATGAAATCATACACAGGATGTCCAGGGGGAAAGGGTCACAGAGCCTCCTGTATTTTCATTTAATATAAAAAGCACTTATTAAACTGCAAAGCAGTGAATAAATATAAGGTATTATCATCTGATGTATTTGAGTAAACACAAAGCCAACCAGGACCTTCCATTACCAGCAGGGAAAAAAAATCCATGTGCTGCGTGAGCCTTCAGCGCCATCCAGTGGCTGGTCGCGCACACGACACCAACATTTCCGAGATCTTTTGAAAGACAAGCCCTTTTAAAAGGTGATGCAGAAGACGCCCCAGACACCTAACCAAAACCTAAAATAAAATCAGGGCATTCAAGCTCGTGGACTGTGGACTAATCGTTGTGACCCCAGGGCCGAGGGTTTGCTGCAAAGGCCCCCAGACCAGAACAACTCGGGACCTGGCAACCTCCCCCCTGTCACATGCTGCATTTCAAAAGCCCAAGTAGATCCAAACCAGTCTGGCACTAATTCTCCATCGCCTTACGGGGCAGGCCAGCATTCTTACTGTATTCCTCTAGCAGATGGAAAAGGCCTTCCAAATAAGCACCCGACAGAGAGTCGGGAGATCGGACAAATGGCGTAAAGAGAGAAGCTCCACAGGTGTTTTCAGATATCATGGAAGGGGCTGAAGACTGTGGCTCTGCGCTTTACAAAAGGGAATATTTGAAAAACGAAGAACTCTCCTCCTTTTGTTAATATGTGCATGGATGTTGGTAGCCTCCTCACAACGATGTGAAAGAATGGAACTTTGTAACAGTGAGCATCTCAAGATCACTGAAAACTGCTCAGTTCTCTAAATAAGAGCCCAACTCGTTTCCTCCTCTTTGCTCAGTTCTGGGTCCACTTCTTTGTTCTGACACACATCAGTCCTGGCATTGTGGACTAACTCATTGGGTGGCCATCTAGCTATGTGTCCAAAGCCTGAACAATATTTTCTTTCAGCCACTTTGTTTTTCCAGAGAAAAAACACAGAAGGTGCTGGCTTGGAATGAGAAAGGGTGGATGGACAGAAAGGTGTTCTGCTGTGGGTTTCACCAACTGAGGCCAGTAGATCAAAGGGGCAGATACCAAAGGTAAGATGTGGTATTGGTAACCCACAGAAGACAGAGAGAAGGGAGGAAAACAGCGGCTGGCTCTTGAGTTCTGGCATCTCACATGATTTCCACGAAGTCTCAACACCTACCTGTGGCTTCACGGGCTGTTCCTGTGCACAGAAAGCCAGCAGGAAGCCCTACCTGTGAGTGATTAATGTCCACTATCCCTCCCTTTGTCTGCTAGGGAGACAAGATGCCCACTGGGAGCTGAGATTCATGCAAATAATGAGTCCTGAGAAGCACTTTCATGTACTCTAATTCATGTTTGAAGTCATAATTATACGAAATGTTGTCACTGGTTTCAACCCAATGGAGATATGCATTGTGAATTGGAATGATGTGACCACTGTATGGGATTCATGATTTGCACTACTTGGGATTTAGTTATGCTTGTGAGTTGTTGCGGTGGTGAGAGGGTGAGATTTGAACAAAAAAAAAAAGTAGCCGACAGACAAGTAGATATGTGATAAATAGGTAGATAGAGAGATAGAGAAATGGATGAGATAAACGGATGATAGATGGATGATACATATACAGATAGATGGATGAAAGATGGATGGATGGGTAACAGATAGATGGATGATAAACAGATAGATGGATGATAGACACATAGATGGATGATAGGTAGATGGATGACAGATGATAGATAGACAGACAGACAGACAGACAGACAGACAGACAGACAGACAGATAGATAGATAGATAGATAGATAGATAGATAGATAGATAGATAGATAGATGGATGGATGGATGGATGACAGGTGGATAGGCAGGTAGGTAGACAGAGGTAGATAACAGATACTTCCATTCTGTGGAATTTCTTACCCTAATTCTAACTCTAGCCCACTTGCCCATCAGCTGAAGCTAATTAAACTTTCTTCTAGCCTTGCCTCTTGACCTATTGACCTCCAGTCAAATGGACCAGGGGGGAAGGAATTACTCTGCAGGAGAATCTTGGGATGTCTGGGCTGAGAAATTCCCCAACACTAGGGAATCTGGGTGAAAGCACTTCAGATTTCTTTTTTTTTTTCTTTTAATCCAATAAGCATTTATTGCACCAGTACCTATGCTGGATGCCAGGGATGCAAAGGAGAAAAAGTCCCTGCCTGCAAGGAGCTTCCATTCTATTGGAGGCCACTAAAGGAAAGAGAACCCTAACTCTGACATGTTTAAGAGGCCTCAAACTGCTTCCTGCGCTTCAAAAGAAGCCTTCAAATGCTGGCATGCAGATGTTAACAAATCAACTCATGGCAATAATATCATATCAAAATTAATATTAACGACAGAATCACATTACCACTGCTGCCACTTTAATAGGGTCAGTGAGCCTGTATCCAAATTCCTTTCCTTGCTCATGGATTTGCCTTTTGTGAAAAAAGCATCATTCTCTGGTGACAACTTTGGCTAAGCGCCCTTTGGACCATTCCATTTACAAGGGTAGAACAGTGGGAAGGCACACTCTACCAGGAGTCGGGGTGTATGGGTCCAAATCCCAGCACTGACTCCCACTGGTTGCATGACCATGGGCAAGTGACTGCTTTGCTGAGCCTTTTTTTCCTCATCTATATAAGGGGGGTAAACAACACTTCTGTAATGTCTACCTCACACAACTGCCATCCCAAAAATATTTTGTAAACCTTAAAAAAAGACCCTATCTCCCAGCTTCATAGCATTTAAAAATTTTTAAATTATTTTCTTCTTAAGAACCCAGTGAGACAAGCAGTGTTTTAGCTCCATTGAAATAAGAAAACTAGCTCTGTGGGTGATTTGCCCACAGCGC